CTGAAAGACATGCATATCCTGGGTATACAATAATCTAACAATTGTGGTAAGTGAAAATAATTTCAAGAAAAACAAAAAGACTTCATAGGCAATGTTCTTATTTTAGATCCCTAGTTTGATCCCTCTAAAAAGAAAACGTGGAGCTCAGACGGGCAACAGTATGTTATATCGAAATCATTTTCTGCAATAATATTCAAAACGGTTGGTATAGAGTGATTGTTGTTGTTGTTGTTGTTCACCTATTGATAGTGGTGCATACCCACTATGGGTAATTGGCCAAGAATCGAGTGATTCTCAACATTTGGGCTCCGTAAGATGTGCATGCTCTTCCTTTTTCTTTACCGAACTGTTTCATCAGCCACAAATTACACATAAAAGTGCGCACAGAAATAAGTTTTACAGTAGAATTGGCCGATTATTTCAATGCTTCAAAAAATTACCAATTTCATATTCCTTTCGAATTTCAAGAAAGCGACAGATTGGGCTTATGGCTCTTCCAGGCTACTTCTCCGCTAGTTACTGCAAGGGTGGAAGGAACGCACCTGCTTAAATAAGAATTTTTTTTCTTTTTTTCCTCGCAGAAGAAGATTTATTAATCTAAGCATATTTATTGTTTCCTGCGTGTGTCTTATTCAGGAAGCCAGGCAGTCAAAATCACTTCGAGTACTGTGTGTCTTATGAACGATATGTAAATAAAGCCACGTAGTTTCATTTTCGAAAAAAATATTTTTGTCAACGTTATATATTCAAAGGAGAGCCCGCTGCATGGCCTCAAAAAGAATTCTTGGACAATCCCTCTGAGTGGGTATGAGCCATGTTCAAGAATTCATCAATATCATCATCATGACTATCGTCCCCGCGCGGTGCCTGCTCGTTCATGGAAACGCCATTTTCGAGCAGCAGAGATCATTGCAGTCAGACGAGAAGATCTCCTCCGGTTCATTGGCATCTAACGCAGTCCACACAAGAGGCAACAACCGAATGCCCAGAGGATCCGCAGCGCCAAATCGTCGGCAGATGGGAAGACGTGTCAGTGTTGGAAGAACGGATCCTCAGATGCGCATGGTACGGGAAAAGTCGACACGCCTTCGCGACAGGCCGAGAGAATCTCAAGCCTGTGAACCGAGTCCCACTACGCATCCACTCGTCCCAAGCCATCGAAAAATAGCTGGTTGTCCTCGGTAACAAAAACCACCCCTATCGGCGCATCACCTACGATACGCCACAGATAAATTACCTACAGCAACTCAGTTCATTGAAGCCAATGGCAGTCACAGCGACCAGCGGCCCCTGATGTGGACTCTTCTCTTAAAGTGGGTCGAGTGGCAGCTTCCTCGTCATCAAGGATCTCTGAGAGCCCTTCAACAGCATGCTGTTGATCAGCATGCTTCCCACTTATGAGCTGTCGATACCGGGCTGGAAAACCAACTTCTGTGGCGCTCACAAAAAGCATCGTGCAGGGTTCTCTCGCATTGACTTCCACCAACCAGCGCCTTGTGTCCTGTTTGGCGCCCAGATGCAGAAAGGGCGTCAGTGGTTGCCGTTCGCCATCAGCGACAAACGATCACCTTTGACTACACGTGAATGTTTCACGATTCGGGGTGAAGAGGCTGCGGAAGTGTGGTATGGCAGTGCTTTTCCAACAGTTGCACTTCTATACCAGATGCTCTGTCAACTTTGTGAACATCTGCTTCTGGCGGAGGTGTCCCTCCTACCTAACCATTGACCCCAACGTGCATATGTCTGTTTCCTCCATCTCCGACTCTGCCGAAGCATTCTGGAAGGTATGGAAATTACGCAGATGCTTGTTGTGAACAGCCCCACTTTCTGTAGCAGCTAGGCATCCCGCAGGTGGTGGCAAAAGGAAACAGACCATTTTCTCGGACATTGCTATGGCGACCAGCCCTTCGTAAGAACTTCTTCAAGGACCTTGGCGACGTCGGCTTGGAAACCACGTTGTTCAGAGCTGAACCAGTTGCCCACCTCCTGTTGGGCGGAGATTCTGCGCGGGCAAGAATTGTGACCTGTCGTGGCCCTACCAATAGTTGTACCGTTGGACCACGCGCTTGGCTTGCTGGTGAAGCATATCTTGCTGGTCCATGGTCTCGGCCTACGCAACCGGTGGTCCCTGTCCAACTACATTTGTTTGCGGCGCCTGTAAGAAGTGCATAGCAGAAAGTTCTGCAGGAAATTGGTGAATGCACTGAAAATTTATCAACCACTCTTTGTGCAGGGTCTGAATGATTTATTTGGGATAGGGGCACTCAGTTTCTTCTTTGGGGAAAAGGAAGCGCGAAGCGAGGTTCACTTTATTTCACCCTTTTACTTAACGCAGGGGCTTAATGGCAAGCCCGTGCTTGCGTGATTCGCAATCGTAATAACGTGAATCGAACGAATAAAATTGAATTTATGTGATTAATATATCTTATTTTGTTTAAAATTGAGAACGGTATACCATTTCATGATGATTACATTCAACTTCCCTGTATGCGTAGGTACCATTTATGTCGTTAAATTGTGTTACCTTATTTAACCGATACTTTCTTAATTTGGGAGGCAATAGTACCCGACTGATATTAAAGCCAAGCATTTCTTGTCGTGCTGCAAGTACTTTCGGTGTCTGTCTACCTATTTATCTCTCTTATCTAGCCGCCTACATCTGGGTGCTCTCGTGATCACTCCTTAACTTGGCGTGAATCAAAATTCGTATGTGAGGGTGAGATTGTTTGACGAATACGACGCACTGGTCAAAACAAGACGCCGTCAAAACAATGTCATGATGCCGTCGCGTACGTTGTCAAACATTTCCTCTAGACAGCGTCACATACCCGCGGGCGGGTATGTGCCACTGGTATGCGAGTTTGTGCCACAGATCATTGACACTTAGTGTCTGTCCAAGAACAATGAGAATACACATCGGCAATTTTAACGAGTGAGCGTTAAGAAACACCTAACGTCGGCAGCGATGACCCGTCGAATGCAAAGAACAATTGCCATGGTCTCAGCAGGAATTGAATCCAAGCACTCTGCATGGCAACCAAGCATTCTACCACAGAGCCACGCAAGGTCTCTGAATTTCTTTTCAAATAGACCCAAATGTTGGTTAAATGTCGGTTGTGGTTGCAGTGCTGCCTGTCTGATTTTATAAAGCTTACATATCTACTCTTTTGATAGAGCCGTCTTGTCGGATTAATTTCATTTGAAACTAGGCGCCGTGCGGTGAAGTTGAAATATTGAGCACTGTCCACGGATACCATCCTCACGAGCACCAGCACTTCATAAAAGCTTATCGCTTCTGCATGGTAATGCTAAACTCATGTTCCAGTTGGCATGGTTGCGCAAGTGCACACAACTTGTTATATAAAGATCTGCAGATTTTCAACATCTGTGGGTGCAACATTTATACATATATTTAGCGTGATTTCATGATGTGAAGCTGATGTAAAAGAATGCAACATGGTCGCTTTCACTCCGCATGTTCGCACAATGTCGAATCCCAAGGTGCGTGGGATCTGCCGAATTTTTTTAATCTGCTTATGTGCAACCTATGCATGTTCTCTATTTCCATGTCACCATCTGCTCCGAATCCAAAATGGTGTACCTTTGCGCAGGCTATTTACTCATGAGTTACTTCTGTGATTTCACTCACGTTAGTTTCGTAAATAATAAATGTTCGGTACAGCACAATCTACAACTAGTTATGTAAAATTATCTGTCACGTTTTTATGCATTTTACTAAACAGTTTAACACCATTTTATAATAATTCTGCTATAATATTATTATCAGGTATCAAAATAATTAACTTCATTAATGCTTAATCACTTGTCCTGTTCTATTCTTACACACTGTACTGTTCCTGATGCACATTCTTTTAATTTTCCCAAAAGTTATATCCGTACGTGTTCCTAGTTTCCCATGTTACTTTATCCTAATAATTTCTAACCTACCTTTATATTTCCTTTTTCATTCTTAGTCTTGATTGCAGAAAATGTAGAAATCATATAATATTTATTATTACTACTGCTTGCCGCAGTTGTACTAGCCGCCTTTGTATTGTGCGAGAAGCTCCTTCCATCATTATTACTTCTAGAACTCCGCTTGTGTACTCATGCACAACCTTTATTTTATCTATCACACAAGATTGATTGATTGATTGATTGATTGATTGATTGATTGATTGATTGATTGATTGATTGAGTGAGTGAGTGAGTGAGTGAGTGAGTGAGTGAGTGAGTTTAATTCAATCATGTCAGGAAAATGCAGCTGAAAAAAACGCGTGCCAGCTAGCCAAAATGCCTTTTATTCGAACGAAAATAAAAACTTGATATTCTCCTTTTTCTTTAAGGAAGAAGTGCGTTGCAAGAAAGGCTACTATTGCGAAAATGCGAAGGCTTTGCATTTTTACATTTCTAAAGCTGCGATAAGTGAATCGCAAATGCCTGAATTGTAGCACGCAGAACTATTTACACTTGCAACTAATTACAATGCACAACTAAATACACTTGCAAACCTCGCGAGTGCGTAAAATGAATGCCTCGTAAAGATTTTATTGGACAGATACTTGGGCAATTTGGTGACTTGGAATCAATATGTTTGCGCAGCGCAACAAGACGAGTAGTTACAGCGTAATTACGAAATAAACATGAAAGAAACATGGACATCAAAGAGCGCTGACTTGAACTAAACTTTATTAGTGAAAACGCTGGAAAGTTATACACACGATTGTCAGCAGCACACCACAGTATAGTACAGCGTATATATTTCATGTGTTTTCGCTAATAAAATTTAGTTGAAATCAGCGCTCCCCTTTGTCCTGTTTCTTCCTACTCATTTTCTTGAGCTGTATCTCGTAAAGGCGTCGCGTACCGAATGTACAAAACTTCGAGTAGTGGGTGAGTTAATACGCTCCGTATATTTATAATATTTTTCAAGGTACTATTCTGTTTCCACTTCACGCGTTAAGTGTTACTTCAGCCTCACCAAAAATAATGGTACTCACTCGAGCCAGCATTGCCGCGTACGTGGCGTCAGCGCGCCACGGGTAAGGCTCCGCCCAGTTCTTGATGGGATCCGCTTCACTGCAGAATCGAGATTGCCGGAATGTATTTCGACGTGCAAGAAGCGTCTACTATCTTCCTCGTCATATTTTTAAAGTGAAAAGAAGAGTGTGCCAGCTGGAGGGCATCAGAAAGTTGCAGGAGCGGAGCAGTAGCAGCGAGAACTATAGTGTATACCTTGCCAGTTGGATGATTAGTCCCTAACAAAGTGACGTAGTCCACTACAGTCGATAATCCAGGAGAAATGCTGTTACGCAGATTGGGAAAATAAAGGTCATGAATGTCGAGTCACAGCAAATGATAGACGATCTTGTCAATGAGCTATTTATTAAAGTGAGATTCATGTCTTTCATTTGAAATATTTATCTTAAAAGAACTTTTAAGCTTTAAATACTTAACTACACAACAAGTATCCTTGAGCGATTCCTGCGTCTTTGCATCTTCTATTAGCAAAAATTTTTTAGCTGAATTAAAAAAAAACTTTCAGACCAATCCTGCAGACCTTCTGCGCCTCGCGTGTTCTACCTTTCCTCCGTCTCTTTCTTCTTATCCACTACTATTTTTTACTATTTCTACTCTCTTATGGCACCGAAATTATGATAAAGAGATTTAGGAAATTTTAGATAAGGGGTAGAAGACATCGTTTGAAATTATCCCAGAACAAGACCAACCAACCGCTACTCCACGCAAACAAACGAGAAGGAAAAAAAAACATCCCCATAACAACTGCAGCAGTTTTTTTTTTTGCTTTTTTTGTACAATCGCCGACTTTGCAGCAATGTACACGGATTCGCGGATTCGCATTACAGAACACAGCCATCGCCATTTTGCCCCCCAATTTGAATCTGTCGTGGCATGAAGCGGCTGTGAGCCCACGACGTATTGTAACTTCCGCGTTTCTTACTTGTTGATGCAAGACTTGGTGCTGAGGCCAGGGCATCGTTCTCTAATGTTGGTCATGGCAGCCATCTCCGCTTGCACGATGTCAGCTGTGGATGCATTTCCCTGCAAATGTAACCACCAAGCTCCGTCATCTACTTGAAAGCCGTATTCACAAGAGAAGCACTGGAGTGAAAACTGTTCGTAAGAGAAAACACTAGTCGCTCCCGATGCTACGCGTGCCAGTCATTAAGACTTCTGAACAATGGCAAAAAGTAACTTGCGAACGAAAAGATTCCTCAGTTGGCCCCACGGCGAATAAACTGACCGACTTCTAGACGTTCACGCAGAAACTCGAAGCACGTCGATTCATTTTTAATGATTTTTTTCATAAGTAACTCACCACAGGAAAGCATGTAAGCGATAGAGACATAGCAGAGCTTGCAGTTGTTTCCCAATATCAACATCGAAGATTAGGCAGCACCATCTTTTTTAGCATGTTTTATAGTTTTATAGGTCAATAGATCAAAATTAGTTCTGCTGAAATCGGTTAGCTGCAAGATGTTTTCAAAACATATGTTTTATACAAGAAAGCAGCATTACGTTCACTGTAACTCAAAATGCTTGTAGTTTTTTATTATAAAATAAATTAATAGGATCCCACAAATAGGGCCTCACAGCTCTTTTTTGAGACAAGACCACAAGCTGCTGCACTTAGCACCTGAAAAAAAAACTGATAAGCTGAAGAAGACTTCGTTTCACTATAAAAAAAAATAAGTCCGAACATCCGTCTTAACAATGCTCGTTTGCTGAACTGAAAGAAATGGCAGCTCTCGGGAATGTTCGAAATATCGAAATTGCTTTTTCACGTCTCAACGCGTAGATATGCGCTCAACATACCTAATTTAAATGTGTTCGAAGCTTCCTAGCATGCTTTGAGGTGAAGGTTACTTTGCCGTGGCACTGGCCAGTGTGTTAGCCAAATCTCTCAAGTGTCGGGTTTGAATTCCGTCAGCAGTGTGTTATTCTATTCAGTCACGAATCTTGCGTAAGAGGAAGAAATATAGAAAATAAATCCTCTCTAACAGAATGAGTCTTAGGTAGATTTCTTTGTTCTCGTATATTGATACGTTCCAAATGTTGGCGCTTTCAATATCCCGTACGATCTTTGTTTGACACGCACATATATATGCAATGCAATTATGCATGCTGTGCTCTACTAATAGAGCACAGCACGCATAAGCGCAGCATAAAATTAATTCAGCCACGAGATCTTTGTATTATTTTTTCTCTCTGCAGTCGCCTCAGACATTCACGAAAGGGAACTCTTTTCAGACGCATCTCCATCAAACGGAGTTTCCTCTGCCACCTCCGTGATGGTGCGACGGCGGACGATGGCGAAAACCGCACTTCCTTGTATACCTTCTGGTGGACGGAAATAAAGTCCAGTCGCACACCACTCTCGCAGTGCTCGAGAAGCGCCCAGGCAAGGGGAGAGTGATGACTTGGGGCGAGGTTCTCAGCCGGACCACCCAGCCTTAGCAGAGGACTCGCATCATTCAGCCCTTCTGAGCAGGCGTCGTAGTAGTTGCACAGTCCTGAAAGGGGAGTGCAAGCGTAGATCTCCTGAGTATGCAGGATACACCGGGCATCGCAACGCGTGCTAGACGGCTCCCACCATTATATACAAAGAGACACTAATCATGCTTGGCTCCACATTGCAAAAACACGTTTCTACAGTCTCCTCTAAGCCCAATATGCATAGGCGTACTGGAGTTCATCAATCGTAGCGCGTACCGCGCGATCTCCCACGCACCGGAAGATGATCGGAGTCAAGTGAGACATTCATCGTTTACGTATTTTCTAAAGCAAGCGCGCCTTCTGAGTCTCAGACACGTCTCTTCCGCTTTTCCGCTGGGAATCCTGCACATAAAATCTACAGAGACAAGCCTGATTTTTTTTTCATGCGGGCTAATTTTTATGAACAAGCTAGTTTTTTTGTACACAATACCGTGCAAGTTTCCTGTTTAATATTCACTTTTTTAGAGGAAGTTCCGTACTGGCTTACGGGCCACTTTAATAGTGCATCGAATACTTGCAGACCGCGTGACCCTAGGTTAATGCTCCTCGCAAGTGAGGTTTTCTCAAAGTTCTCATGTTCTTCAATGGCGCTCGTAATCTTCAGAGCAAGATAACTGACTCTACTGTCTGAACTGCCTGTCTTAAATGTGCATTATTACATCTGGCTTCCTCTAGCGAGTGACGTTCACGTGTTATACAATGTCGAGCTCTTCAAGCGTTTAGGACACCAATGGGGATATTCATAGCGAATTTCACAAATTTACCTTGTTCTGTGAAATTGTTTCCGTAGCTCTTGTGATCCGGCTCGTTCCACGACTCGAAATTCCACTGCGCCACGTAATCCTCGTCGTACCTGTCTGCAGTCACCAAAATAATGATGGCGAGATTCTGGATGGTGTTCTGAGGATTTCTAGGAGCCACCAAAGAAAGTTAAAGCGAAGTACTACTTTTTTAAATGCCATCAAAACTCGAAGCCCAGCATGAAGAAAGTATTTGCCAAGTTAAGCTGACGTTTATTGAGAGGTGTAATTAAAGGTAATTATAGGCTGATAGCGTGTGTAAAAAGTAACAGACGCAAGCTGGTTAGTGTTTTATGAAAAAAATCAGATAATGCTTAAACGAGAGCGTGTTAATATCTTCAAAAGTGAACAAACAACGCGATGTCAGGACACAGCTTAAGAACGCGTGACACATCGTTGTGTGTTCTATCTTTACATGACATGCCTTGCGAAATTAAGCTTAGTCTTGACTTTGTTTCTCTAACATGCTTGTTAAAACTGACCTTGGTGGTAATGCACGTGGGCATTTACTTGTGATTTTTTTTACATTTACTTGTAATCTTTTACATTTACTTGTAATGTTTTACATAAATTACCAATAGCAATTGCTAATTCAGAGTTCATTTAATGTTTTCTGAAAGGTTGCTATCATGTACGTTCCACAGAGTTGATCGTGTTCGTCTTACTGTCGTTGATGAATCGTCTGTCCGGTAGCCGGCAGTAGGATCTGAGGGACACACTGATGGTGCAGGTTTAGGATTGTCGGTTGGTGTAGGTTGCAGTGTGGCTGCCGCTGCAGCGAGCCAAGTCTTACCATCCTTTCTGTTACTCGTTGACCAAATCTCAGTCTCTAGAGAGGCTGGGGTAACCAGTACGTCGGGTACACTTATCAAAGTAACGTAACATCGAGGCGTTAAATTCACGTTTGTCAATGATACTACGAATAGTATTATGAAAACTTGGAGAATTATCTATCAACAATCTTAATCGCAGACCAGGTTTAGTTTAAACGTACGCTTCGGTGATACCAAAGAGATCGTCTCCGTATTTGTCACCACTGTTTCGTCTCAGTATTTGCATGTGTTTGATCTGTCCTTCTGTGGTACCCACTGATAAACCGACAGCGTTTTACGCAGATATATTTCGAGCATGCAGTTACCATAGAGTTTGTAGCAGAGCAAAGCTTAGCAGTACAGGTCAGAGTTCCACTAAGCCATGTCTCATTATCATTTTATAAATGTTTATTGTACCTTTTAAGGTTCGTCATAATGTTTCTTCGTTGTTTTTCTCAAATTCACAGTGTTTGAGTTCATACCGAGGTAGTGGCGAGCCAGTGCAGTGACGAGCTCCTTCCATAGCTCGAGGTCAGCATGCTTTTCGAAGTCTAGCGGCCGTGGAAAAGGGTTCCCCATGAGCTCCAGTCCAGGTTTAAGTCCTAGAGCCCGCACACGGTCTAGCAGAGTGTCCAGTAAACTAAAATTGAACGCTGTGCTACGGCCCATCTCCGACGAGGCGCTGTAATTGAGATAGACCCAATTGTAGCATACACCAGAAAGGAGAGGAAAGGGTCAAAGCACCCTTCGCTGTAACAGTTCAAGATTTTGTATGTGCATATACACGTATACACACATACACAAGCAAGAACATACATACAGGGAGGTTCGAGATGTCAAATAGTCAAAGAAAAAGGAAAGGCAGGGAGGTTAACCAAATTGTACTCGGTTTGCTACACAACGCATGGGAGATAAAAGGGGAGAAAAGGAATTGAGGAAGCAAAGAAGAAGAGTGCAAGTAATACACGAACAAATATCTCAGCGTTCACCACACACACCCAGGCAGCCACAACCGAAAAGTTTTCGAGAACGGTTCCTCTATGGTTCTCTAAATGTAGGCTAGAATAGAATATATAAAGGTTAGGAGACAGTTCAAGAAGTTAAGATATATATAAGTTTGTATCGTGTATAATTTTAAGGGTTTTTTTGTTGTTGTTGTAGCGTTTGTTCGGAATAGAAGAGTCAGATGTCATTCATGGGCCGAGACCGGCCACGTTAGAACGCCGAGTACGTATGTGGAGCAAGAAAAAAAATAGCATGAGAAAAAAACGAAAGCAGCGTTTACTGTACTCAGAGACATAGCAATATTCTATAAAGATGAGACAAAAAAGAGAAAGAGGCCATGTGCGTTGTGATCGATCTGTTATCGTGGCGCGTCGAATATCCGACAGTACACAAAATTACCGCTTTGGGCATTGCGTAATCCTCAAAGATTTCTGTTCTTTCAAGTTTCAGAAGTGCGTGTAAAGTTTTCAAAACCCCGGCTCTTTTTTCGCTGATTTATCACTCTCTACCCCAAGGCCAAAAACGACGCAATCTGGTTGCGCCGAGGCAAAACGATCTTCTAATTCTCAAAACTGCGACGCTTCACACCATTATCCTTTTAGAGGGCGAGGTTCGCCGAACCTGTCATTTTCGGCTCGTTGAAAGATATCTCCTCAGAAGGCCGAGCCAGAGAGTCGTCAATTACTGGCGCGGGGATTAGTAAACCGGGCCGTATAATCTTTCATTCAAAGGAGGGATTAAAAACGGAGAACTGGGCGTTCGCGCAGCGACAGCCGCGGTGGTATCCCTGCTCGCGGGGATAAACTCCCGCGCAAGGCTATCGAAGAGAACGGGCGCCCGCCATGTAAATTACTGGTTTCGGTGCGTTCGCTGATTCCGTATACGCTCCCACGCGAAGACCGCCGCCTCCGACGCGGCCGAAGGAAAGGGATCAGCATATGGCGTCCCCCTCCTTTCCCCGCACGACGTTTCGGCGCGGCGTTCGCTCTCCGCACCCACCGGGCGTCCGCGGCGAAGCGCAAGCGGAAGCCTGCAACGCGCGCCCGATCGCCGCCGCGCCAGCAGCCGGTATGCGGGCGTCGGGCGGGTAGTGAAGAGCGCCGCCGCCAGTGACGGTTTCGCGACCGACCATTACCGATATTGTTTATTCCGCCAGAGTGCGTTCCAAACAAATAACGAAATTAAAAGTCAATATTATTTCTTTGAAGCTGGGGAGAGCATATTACGCTGTTTACACAGTCGAGGCGGCCGACGCGGGTATTCCGACCCTCCACGCGGATCGATGAGGCGACTCCCGACCCCGGTGTGGCCTGCCCCCCGACGCACGCTGCAGCCTTTCGCTCGTGAAATTGAAACGTCATCTGCTGATTCAGAGCTACTCGTGGTGCCGCGCTATCGAGGATCGAGGGAGGGCGAGTCGCTCAGTTTGCCGAGCGAAAGCGGTTTTTCGCTGGGGACAAACGTAGTATGCTGTCTTCTCGGGGAACAGGCCAATTAGGGCAGGGCGGTGTGCCACTCTTCCCCGGCATCCAAAGGAACCTTCAAAAACGAAAAAGGAGACGAGCCAACGGGCGCTTGACGGCTGCGGCACTGGATGCGTGCTGCCCCATGTGTATACGAGTGTGCTGCTGTGCACGCCCCAGCATGAAGTGGGCGCTTTCTTTCTCTTTGTATCTGAAGGGCGACAACCACTTGTGTCTGGAATGGCCCCGTTTTCTTTCGACGTTGCGCCAAATGCGGGTGTCAAGAGCGCGGCTCTCTTATCTCCTCGGTGAGCACGACCGTATACATCGCGCCGCTGCTCCCAGTTCCCCCCCTCCTCCCTATCTCAAAAGGCCTGCGCACCCCCCACCGCTCTTCTTACCCCGAGGTTCTGTAATCGGGAACCCCAATTTTCAGCGCGATTTCTCGTCGCTCTCATCGCTCTGTGCGTCCAAAACGCACGATCAATGGCTGAAAACGAAAAAGCAAACTACAAGAACATCATCACTGTGGAGCGTCCATCCCAACCCTCAACGTTTTGACGCTAAACGCTATACTCTACAACAGACTGTCATTTCAACAGTAATGATACAGCACAGACGCTTCATATGTGTGCTAGCTGTAGCTTTCTCGTATTGGGTGTGTTGTCTTCGTCTATCTCTGAAGTGCAGCGCAGTCAATTTACAAGCATTAAGGTGGTCCGAAAGATTGTCAAGTGTCAAAATGAAATGTCTATACAACCGAACTGCTCGAATGGTATACACTGCAAGGATTGACATCTCCAACTAACGTTCAAGTGGTTTCACTCTTTATCACGTCTACTAAGCTGGTGGCGTCTCGCATTCAAATCACGTCTGCTCAGTGCCACGATCACTGTTCGATCTTCGGTTAGAGAATCCTGTGACCACACTATTCTATTCAAATGTTCTAGCCTTAATGTTCGCAAATCTCGCAATGTCGGCCGTTGTGTATGCTCGCTCATATACCTGAATTTTAGTATAGCATTCTTTTAGCGGTCACTGTCAGGAAGTACCTATTTTCGAGGAATGGTCTCCCTGCGACCCCCCCCCCCCCCCGACGGCTTCCTGTTCCCTTCGCATTCTAACCTCTGGGCTCTCCGCAGCCTGTTATAGTTTATAGAGGTCACTGGAATCGCCACCCAACGTTAGGCACCCGCAACTTGCAAGACACCTCCTTTTTGGTATCCCCCATAATTAGCCGAGGCACCTGCAGATTATCGTTTTACCTTTCTACTGTCTCTCTTTCTTCTACTTTCTCCTTCATTTAGCCTTCCCTTATGAACATAATTAATTGTCCATCCGCGTTTATCTATTTTTCAGCTTATTTTTGTCAGTATAGTTCCTTGGAAGTGTAGGGTTTAGATTATTCTCTCATCCGGAACCCAACAATACCCTAGTCTCTCAGGTCGTAGGCGTGCACAGGGTTCCCCTTCATGCGTGAGAGGGGGTGAAGGTTCATCGCACCCCATCTTTGTTGACTAGGAAAGGTGGGTGCCCCTGCTATCCCCCCCTCCCTTCCGTGCCCACGCCTACGTCTCGGGTGAAGCAGTGGGGCGCTTTAAACTACGTCGGTTTACCTCAAATTCCGTCTGGTTTTTCACAGTTTACTAAATTCCCATCGTAAAACCAAATTGTGTTTTCGCACGAAGGAGGACTAATGTAACGCCGTAAAACTCTTCATTTATGCATCTGATTTGTCTCCAAGCGCATTCGCGTTAACCTAATTAGCCAAGCAATCAATCGATTCTATTTACCGCTTTAAAGAGTGGAGGACATGAGAAGAAAAAGCTCTGGTAGTCGCCCAGTAGTCACCTGGGTGACGTAACCTGGGTGACTACGTCACTCAGGTTAACAAAAGTCGAAGGTACAGTAAGTGCGTATTCAAGAATCAAAAGAATGCAACAAGCACTAAGAAAAATGTGTGAATAAAATAGAGAGGATCAGGACTGTTATATTGATTTTAAGTTACATATTTTGCGTGGGATATGAAATAAAATACTACAGGGTCAGTATTCCTACGATAATATAAGCGAATTCGTAAACACTGGGCGGGGTATGCCACTTATGGGGCCAGGCGTAAGTGTTCAGCCCAATCGGCTGCTTTAATTGAAATTTTACGCTCGTGTGTGCTTTGCGAAGGAGTTTCGTGCAACTTTTACCTTGATGACCATGTTTGTTGTACAGCTAACGTGGGAGTTTCGTGCGGGTCACTGTAGAACTTCACTGATTTTAGCATCAGCCAGAGGCGACGGCGTTTCTATTTCCAAGAAAATTAAACAATTTGCTCGTATAAATTGTCAAGGCAAAGTTGGTAGCGCCTTAGACCACGACGAACCACTCAGTGCGCAAACACATCCTTGGTTAGGAATGACTGCATAGATGACTGTGTAGTTCAGTTAATTTTGGGCGAAAGCGGAAGGTCAGAATACCCGGCTCTGCCCAAATTTCACTGAAACTTCTAATTCCCGTGGTCACTTTTGAGGTGCAGTTGACCAAATATTTAATGAGTACCACTATATACCTTTAAGCGTTAATTAATCTGGCCACCGGACGCCGTGATTTCGATAAGAAACCAATATATATTTATACGGCGACCCTCATATGGTGCAAATTCTTCTGAAGTTCTATCAACCTCAAACATGGGTGTCGACTGCAAAAGTGGTCCTTGCCCCCATCGAGCTCCACCGGCACTTGTCCTCATCGAAACCAGTGCTCTCCCTCTCCCCCAGACGCGATGCAACACTCGTTTGCACCCTCCAAGAGAAAATTTTGCCGGCACCTACGACCTGGAATGAATAGAGGCACCAGAGGTTCTCTGTTTTTTAGCCGAAATCACACAGAAATAACAGAAAAGAAATGTATAGGAAAAATGTGTGAGCACTTGGTTCGTTTGTAGTTAAGTATATTACACCTCACAAATGAGGTCTAGAGTAAATATGGGATCAACGTCATCTTTTTTTTATAATAAATGTGTTAGAGAAAAGGTTGGTTGCATGTATGGCGCCGGCTTCTTACATAATAGTTTTTTTTCCTAGCGATGTTGAAACGAATGAGAAACGATCACGTGAACGCACACTCACATACACACTGTCTTAGTGCTGCACTAAAAGCATTCGCACTGCAGATGCTCGACACTTACAAGTCTCTCTTCAATGCCGCCCTCTAAAAACTACAG